AGTGGTGATCAGTGATGGATTGTGGTAATTGGTGAATAGCGATGAACAGTGGTGAACAATAGTGAATAGCAATGAACACTGGTGAATAGTGATTAATAGTGACGAATAGTGGTAATTAGTGACATAGTGGTGAACAGTGGTGATTCATCACATATAGTGATGCATAGTGATTAACAGTGGTGAACAATAGTGAATAGCGGTGAACAGTGGTGATCAGTGATGAATTGTGGTAATTGGTGAAGTGATGAACAGTGGTGAACAATGGTGAACAGTGGTGATCAGTGATGAATTGTGGTAATTGGTGAAGTGATGAACAGTGATGAATAGTGATGAACAGTGGTGAACAATGGTGGATGGCACAGAGCTGTTTTATGGTAACATACAGTGAAAAGTCAAACACTCCTTTTAAAGGAAGAAGCACAGTGTCCCCAAACTTTTGCCAGGCGGTGTGGTCTGAGTTCTGGGCTATTTTTGAAGGACCTCCTCTGCTGTGATTATAAGTTTGCAGTGTTTTTCCTGGATGTCTCTGTGGCCTGCAGGCCCTCCTCTGACTGCTAAACTGTTAGCATTATGAAAGCATTAGCGCTAAATTCCTTCATTCCACATTCAGAGCCGCAGGCAGCCGCTAGCGCTCCTTCTGCTAATGTTGTTTTCTGGGCTGCCAGTTCGGAGCACATGCTGGCTGTAATTGTGACTACTTACTTCCCAGATTCCTTTCAGGGATGAACAGATGGAGTTTAGTCCTGTCAGCATTAACCATTAACCCCTTAATGTCCATGTCGCATATGTGTTCTGTGTGTCCTCTAAAGATATTTATCAAATTTATTAAACTGTACAACTAAAAGTTAGTATTTATGAGTTTGTTTATTGTTACATTCAGTCTTTCTGTCACATGGGACTAATTTTTAACCCCTTGAACCCTACGTTTATTATTTTTATCGTAAAATATGATAATGTAAGATTCAGTATGAATACAGAATGAATAATAAAGATTTATTAGTCATTATTTATTCAATAAGTGACCTTAAAAATGTAAGTTGGGTAGTTGAGAGTGTGGAGGTAAAGTGTGGGCACATATACGGGCTCTGTTCAAACTGCATATTTCGTTGTTTTGTGTTGTTGAACTAATGTTAACTTTACTTTCTTGATAATTTAGCAGTGATGAGTTGCCAGTTTGTATTGTATGATATGTATATTTCAGTGTGAATGGCTGTGCTGGTAGGCGGAGTTTGCGGTGGAGCGGCGAGTGCGCTGCTCCCCCTACTGACCAAACGTTATAATGTTGAAATTACAGCCGCTGGAAAGAATAAAATGTGAAATAAACAAAATGTACTTGTGTTTTTAAGACAGTAGAATAATGTGATTGTGATTATCACATTTTTGTTATTATTATTTTTCTAAATACCGAAACACTATTGTGTGTGACACTTGCTGTGTTGTGTAATATTGTTAGTATTATTATTTTTTTATGTTTATTCTCATTATTGGTGTCAGCTGATATTGTAGTTTTGGTTAGTTAACCTCAAATCAAGCATCAATTTCAAGTTGTTAAACTATTTCACTAAAATTTTTTGCACTCCTACCAGACATGAGTTTGATCATGCAGATGTGCTGAGGATGAAAGTGATGAATAAACAAAATTATGGGTGATGTTTTGCTAGATTTATGATCAGATTTGTCCGTATGCAACTTTGATTAATTGGAGCCAAGGTAGTATAAAAGGATGTGGATGTTGACTGATGACATGAAAATGATTTATGATTAATATTTTTGTGGTTGCTGAAATGGACAGAGTCGAAAAAGAGAGAATGGACAGTCTGGATCAATAAGAGATTATTGTGCAGCGCTCTGCCCGTGTTGCCATTATCATTCATGACACTGAGGCAGTCGGGGAAAGAGAGAGAGAGGGATACAGGGCAAGAGAGGGGGAGGGAGAGAGGAAATCAGGCTCTAAATCTTTCATGAGCGTGAAACGGCAGTAATCCATAAGACACAAACTGTCTGCTCCGCCATGTTCGTTCAGCTCTCCGTTTACGACTGTACAGCCCTCTGTTTTGGCCTGCACACTCTAAATATCCCCAACAACTTTCCTCCTTTTATTTTATCAGATTTTCAGCAGAGGCCTTTGTGTAATAAATGTGTCGTAATTAACCTTTGCCTCAAAAACCAAAATAACATTTGCGGTGGTTAAAAACGACATTACAGAGTTGCAAATTTAGCACCAAAAGCATATCCATGAAGCGCACAGTGCTTTTATTTCCAGCTCTCTATGTATAGCGAAGCGTTGCTGAGGCCCAGAATGGTTCTAATAGCGTTCTAAATCAGGTTCTGAGTTCTAATGGTGCTAAACGGAAGCCCTTGTTGTGGCCGTTGCTATAGAGGCAGCCGTGCAGCGGGAGGCCTGTGTCATTGAGATGTGCTGATGCAGGTAAAAATGCTGGCAGGAAATCGATGGTGTTTTATTGAAGGCGTTGGGGGGTGGGGGTGGGGGGTGGTTTAGTGACTCTGGGACACCCCTGCGCTCCTTTCTCCCTTTTCCTTTAACTTCCCTTCTGCTTCCAAAAGCAGCTTTCAGCGACTCAGACCTGAAATGAGGCCTAGTCCATGTGTGTGTGGTGGGTCAGTGTTGGGGTGGGTGGTCGTTAAACATTCATAGAAGATAGAATCGTTTGAAATACTCTGATTATTCAAATTACAGCCATCTCCAAACCTGATTTTCTGCCTTTGAGCAGGTACATGCACAACTGGACCCCTGAGGGGGTGTTTTATAATTGTAGTAGTAATAATAATAATATTAATACCTTTAAATTCCCTCTGCCAGTCTTCAAGATCCATTTCACAGAATAAAGCCTGTGGGTTGGCTCTGGTTCTATGAGCTATGTCACTCTTGGGTGCTCCCTCTCGCACAGTACCGACCTCTTGTTGGGATTTGACCTCAGTAACTCTGACCTGTTGCAGATGTACGCATCACCACAGCTTTCTTTTCAAGAAAATTTCACATTGTGGTTATTTTGAACAACACCCTAACATAATGTTGACTGTAGTGGGGACTGGTGAGGTGCTAAACTAGTGTTTTGTTCTTGTACAAAACTTGCCTTATAAATTGCCTTATAAACAAATATATATTTGTTGCCTTATAAATAACTGTGGTTAACGTTTTTTGTTCACTGTATGCAACTGTTACACTGGCCAAATGACCCGATTAGCTATCTTGCTTCCAAAATGTTGATACTTATAGAGTTGATACTTACAAACCGACAACAAAAACAGCTCAAGCTCAAATAAATGTTACTCATTGCCGCCCTCTACAGGCATTATTTACAAACATCAAATAAACAAACGTTACTCGCCAACGCCCTCTAAAGGTGTTATAGCACTGGTCAGAAGTTAGAACCTTTATTTCTTTAGTGTAATGGATGAAAACACACCCAATTCATTTGTTGTTTTTCGAGATGTAAACATATGATTGTGAAAACTAACAACTGTCAGCTCAAATCAGATAATTGCGTGATCAGGCTAGCGTTATAATTGTGACAGGCCTAGTATAGTGAGTGATGCCGGAGCCTTGTACGCTGCAGACTAAGGGTTAAATCTGTGGTCTGTTAATAACGTTATGTTTGTCTGCCTTGGGAAAAACTCTTAATACTATGTTTGGTTTTCTCTGAAACAGGATTACACAATCTCTCTTGATAACAGTGTCTACAGTATGCTATGGATTTATTTAATTCATGTTTATGTTTCCCTTTTTTTGTTTGAGCTCCCCCCAAAAAAATGTCTGAGCACGAGCCTACGTTTAGTACTTGCAGATACACTCACTGAGCACTTAACTTTGTTTCTACACTCATTGTCCATTTTAACAGCTCCACTGACCATATAGTTTCACTTTGTAGTTCTACAGTTACAGGCTGTAGTCCATCTGTTCCTCTGCATACTTTGTTACCCTGTTCTTTTGTGGTCAGGACCACCAGAGGACCCCCACAGAGAAGGGATTATTTGGGTGGTGGGTCATTCTCAGCACTTCAGTGATACTGACGTGGTGGTCATGTGTTAGTGTGTGTTGCGCTGGTGCGAATGGATCAGACACAGAGGAGCTGCTGGAGTTTTTAAACACTGTGTCCACTCACTGTCCACTCTATTAGACACTCCTACCTTGTCAGTTCACCTTGTAGATGTAAAGTCAGAGACGATAGCTCATCTGTTGCTGCACAGTTTGCGGTGGTCATCCTCTAGTCCTTCATTGGTGGTCACAGGACGCTGCCCACAAGACGCTGTTGGCTGGATGTTTTGGTTCTCAGTCCAGCAGTGACACTGAGATGTTTAAAAACTCCAGCAGCACTGCTGTGTCTGATCCACTCAGACCAGCGCAACACACACTAACACACCACCACCATGTCAGTGTCAATGCAGTGCTGAGAATGACCAACCACCCAAAAAATACCTGCTCTGTGGGGGGCCCTGTAGGGGTACCTGACCATTGAAGAACAGGGTAACAAAGTATGCAGAGAAACAGATGGACTACAGTCTGTAACTGTAGAACTACAAAGTGCTCCTATATGGGCAGTGGAGCTGATAAAATGGACAGTGAGTGTAGAAACAAGGAGGTGTTCCTAATAACTTGCTCAGTGTGTGCATGTTAAAATAATAGTGGTTTGCAGTGGAATTGAGTCTGTGTTTTTGCCATGAAAACTCTAAACATGAGTTTCTTTTGGAAGTGTTTCAGGGAGGGTGTGCTGTGCATTTGTTGTGAGTGTGTGCGGTCCACCTGAGATCCTGGTTTATATTACGCTAATTTTATTTGACTGTCCAGAACTACCACAGGCTTCAGTCTTCAGTCAGTCTCTCTCTTGCTTCTGCTCTCGCTTTCTTGTTCTTCACTAAAGAGATCTTTTTTTATAGGTACCCTTCAGTATTTCCTTTGTGTGTGCTAATTTTAATTCAGCACGTTTTATCTTAAAAATGTTCTGTGCTAACCTCTTTCAATTCTATTTTCTGTCTTGTAGGTGATCGAGAACCCCCCAGCTAACTTGCAGTAGAGGACAGCAGACAACACTGAAGTTGGAGGCTCCTTTGTAGGCTCTCAGAAGCCATCAGTACAACTCCACTACACAAATGTGCACTTTTCCAGACAGGCAGCTAATAAATCTTACCTTGGATTAGCTCCAAATATCATTATGACGGAAATCAAGGACACAACCAGCCGCCACTTGAGGCACAAGCTCCAGAGTCTGGGGCGGCGTCTGGATGAGCTTGAAGAGGCCACAAGTAAACTTCACAAGGCTGAGGACGAGCTTTTGGACCTCCAAGACAAGATCATTCAAGCTGAGGGCAGTAATTCCTCCTTGCTTGGGGATGTTGAGGCACTTCGGAAGAGAGTGCTCAAAATTGAGGGTAAGGATGAGGAGGTGAGAAAAGCAGAAGACCTTTGTCGTTTGGTAAAGGAGAAGCTGGAAGCAGAGGAGAACTTGACTAAGGAGCTTAAAGCAGAGATAGAGCGTCTTCAGCGCAGAATGACTGAACTTGAGAAGCTGGAAGAGGCGTTTGGGAAGAGCAAGTCCGACTGCACCCAGCTCTGTCTCAGCCTTAATGAGGAAAAGAACCTCACCAAGAAGCTTTCATCTGAACTGGAAGCACTGAAGGCCCGAGTGAAGGAGGTGGACTCCTCCGAGGCCCGTTTGAGCAGGGCAGAGCAGGCTCTAACTGCTGAGATGGAGAAACTGAAAGCCCTCACTCAGACGTTTGTGAACGAGCGCAAAAGACTCCTGGAAAAGCAAAGAGAGGATGAGAAAATCATTCTCAAACTGACTGAGAAACTTGAACGGCAGAAGAGCAAATTGGGTTCATCAGACCACAGTTTCAATGAGTCCCGAGATATCCGGATTGAAGATGACCTCTCAGCGGGACTGACTAGCAAGCTGGCAAGGAAGAAGAGTCTGGACTACCTTAAGCTGTCGGATGATGTTGGGTTGAGGAACAAATCAGAGAATGAGAAAAACAGCCTAGAGGGGCAGGAGGACAATAAGATCAAAGACCTTACACAGGAAATAGAGAAGCTGAAAAGCCGCCTCAAACAACTGGAGATAGTGGAGGAGGACCTGAAAATCTCAGAATCCAAGAATGCTGACCTGGCTGAAAAGTTTCAGCAGGAGAGAAGCCGTAGCCAAGCGCTGAATGACCAGCTTGAGCAGCTGAAGATGCAACTTTTCAGCAGCAGTAGTAATGGAAACCTTGCAGTTTCCAACACAGCGAAAGTCCTTGAGAATGGCAAGGCTGAGAACGAGGAGATCAATGTACGAGGTGGTTTCAGGCAGGAGAAGCCGAAGTACAGGAGTGCTGTCACTGAGCCAAGCACCTCAAAGAGCAAAGCCAGAGATACTTCTCCGCAGCAGCGAAAATTGAAGAGTAAAGACCTCAGCCATTCCGTGGAGAATTCCCCTAAGACTCCACGGCGGGCCTTAAGTCCTGCCCACAAGTTAAAGAAAGCTGGGTTGAAAACTGGGTCTTCAAATACTGCTGACAATGGATTAAAAGATAGTAAGGGCATTGAAGAGAAGTTTGGAAGTACCATTCAGGCCAGCTCTGTGAGTGATAACAAGAAAGTTTCCGTCCTCAGCCGTTATCCTCCTGCTGCCAATGACCAAAAGCCAGGGAAAGTGTCTGCCAAGCCTGCCGAAAGCGAAAGCAAGAAGAGTAGAGTTGAGAAATTCACCAGGTTGTATGCTGGGAGTGACAGTGAGTCAAACAATTCTGATATTGTTGTGAGTAGCTCAAATAAGAATGTTAGTGCTCCTCCACCTGAAAAGGACAGATCCCTCGAGCCTTTAGATCCTTCACAGGAGGCAACTGCTGTGTTGAGTTTGTCCCAGGCAAATGGATCTTACACTGCATACAGATCCCATGTAACCCCATCAGCTCCTAGTGATCATGGATCTGAGGGCCACTCCTCAGCCTCAGAATCAGAATCTACTGTTTCAAAGCGTTCAGTGAGCGACGCAGCTTCTGTAACGTCTGCTTTAAGCAGCAGAACAACCAGCTCTAAGTATCCCAGGTACTCACGACTGCAGGAATCGCATTCCGGTGGATCTTCAACAAGGAGCTCTTATGACGAAGAACAGCATAGGGCTCTAATGACGGAAGGTGGATCTCAGGAGACTGTTCAGGCTTCCTCCGGAATTGAGATCCAGCGGACCTGCAGCCCACGGGAGGCCCTGCGATCTAAGGCAGTTATCAAGCCAGCAATCGTAGAGTATGACCGCAAGGAGGTGATGATATCGGGAGGGAGCGCAGAACCGCTGTCCACCAATGGGAAACCCAAGATCTCCACCAAGATGACCAGCAGTATCACTTTCTACCCTAATGACCCGAGCTCTTCTCGGACCAGCAGTCGAAGCAGCAGTATCTCAAGTGACCCCTCATCCAAGGAGCGACACACCTCTACCAGCAATATTGTTATTGGGCCAAGCCCGGACCTCCGAGGTAGCATCTCCATCCCTTATGAAATATCCATTCCCAAGAGTGAGATCACTCTGCAGCCTGGTGAGGAAGACTGCGACAACTCAGATCCTCCCTGGTGTCTCAGAGATGGCTCGCGTGGAGACGACCATCCTGTCCCGAAGCAGCTTCAGTCTTCAGTCGCCAGAAATGGTGTCTGATGTCAACAGCACAGAGTCTGGGTTTGAAAGCAACAGTAGCAGCACCACCACAACAGTCACCAGCTGGAGAAGCCTCAGCAACAACCACTACTCGTCCCAGGACGACAGTGTACCAGAAATGAGGAATGTGACTGTAAGGAGTGCTTGGAGGAATCGAGGTGCAGCTTCTGTGGACGATCTTGGACGGGGACCAAGACGGGATGGTTCTGACGATGAATTGGAGTCTGCCACAACATGGAGAGCATACAGAGCTACCACGGTCCTGGATGCAGACGAATCCTCAGTATCCCCTAATGTCACCACACGAGGTGGAAAGCCAAGTCCAGCAGAGGTTTACATGCGCAAGATTAGCAGTGGAAATACATCTAAAGATGTTATAGAGCCTGTGCATAAGAGCAAGAGTGTTGTGTCACAACTAGATAGTGGCCTTCAGAGATGTATTCCTCATGAGCCCGTCACAGCACAGCAGCTGCAGCCAAGGAGCCGAAGACAACCTAACGTGAGTATTGCCTCTGTTGTTTACATATACTATGGCCTAGCTTTGGACATCTGTGGGTTAAGACTGCTTTTACGTAAGCAATTACTCTTTTGTAAAAAGTGTATTGGGATTTAGAGTTTTAATAACCATTGGCATTAAGTGCAGAAGTAATTTGACTGCGTTCAGCTCAGCCCCTTGCGGCAGCTAGCTTTCAAAGCAGATATGAATATAAATTCAGCTGCCTGACTGCCTTTTCTGATGTTTTTTATGAATATATAATTACTTACCATCAGGCAGTAATTGTCAGGAATGCTCTGCATTTTGAGTGTGAGGCCTTATGCATGTTTGAAAAGCTTACAAAGGCTCTCCTCAGTATAGAGCAACAATGCTAAGGCTGTTTCTTTGTGATTCTGATGTGATAATCATGAGCAAATAAAGTAGTTTTTACAATTGCTTAGCTTCTTTAGGGTTATACTGATTTATTTGTGGAGTGTAGGTTTTGATGGTTTGTTATATATAGAGTATATCTAAATAACGGATGTGCATTCTTCACCAATTTTGATATTCAATAAACTATAAGAGTTTTCCGTTAACTGTGAGGAATGAAAGAACAAGCTCGTCACCTAATATTAGCATATCATAATGCACAAATGTTAGCCAGTAAATTGGTACACGGTGCTAGCTGGCTAAAAAAATCATTAGCATGAACAAAATTGCAGGAGCTCACAAAGTGTACATATGAAAATGCTAGCAAAAGCTCTGACCACTGAAGAACAGGGTAAAAGGGGGCTAACAAAGTATGCAGAGAAACAGATGGACTACAGTCTGTAATTGTAGAACTACTAAGTGCATATATATATATATATATGTGTGTGTGTGTGTGTATATATATATGTGTATGTATGTGTGTGTATATATATGCTAATTACGCGATATCATACTGTGTTAAACAGTATTCTGTTTATAACAAGGCAAGGAATGTCCTGTTTTCTATCACATATGTTTCATTTGCTTGATGGGCTTTAGTTGACCTTACTGTCAATTAAAACGCTGATCAAACACTGATCAATACAGATCATTTTATATTCCATGTGTTTGACTGAGTCTGCTGAACAGGCACTTACAGCTGTATTGCTTTACCACCTGCATATAATACTTACATTTGCAGTTCTGGAACATTAGCACAAGCACATTTGGCACTATTGATGATATAAATAATCCCGTAGAGATGATGTTTGACACATTTTTTGTGAAGCTGTGTTTGTGTTGGAAGTTCTGCTCTCTCCAAGAGTGATAGTTCGTTTGGCGAAAGGTCTTTTAGTTTCTTTTCCGTATGCTGAAAGAGGAAAAATGCCGTAGTTCCTAGAGGGAATCCCAGTTATCTGTTTTTGTTATACCTGAGCGTGCTGTTTCATGCCGTTCGCTGTGAATTCAGTCGTCTGAGTGAGTTTTCGGGGGAGATTTATGAGGTTCACGTTGAAGACAGATCTTGAAGAAGAGCTTAGGCCAGAGGTTCAGTTGTGTTCCTGTGATGAAGTGAAGATTAACAATTGAAGGGAAAAGCGGATAACGGAAGAACAAGACGTGCATTTCTTCACTGTCAACAAAGCAAAGTTTAGCAGGGTCACTTTATTTTTTCGTAATTTTTTCTAGTTATTGTTAAGCTGTAGTATATAAACTTAATAGGGTGTCCTTTGTAAATCTGTGAATGCAATATGGCTGTAAAGGGTTACGAAGGGTCAGTTTAGGCCTAAAAGGAAGTGCTGCTATCATACGCAAACGTTTGAACACTCCTGAGTTTAAAATATTAAAAACAATAAACGATAAAATGTGCTGTGACTTTTGCACAGGCCACATTTCATGTTTATCCGCCCCCCCCCCACCAATGTGTTAAATTCAGTAAATAAACAGTAATTGTGTATTAAAGTGTGCAGAAGTGTGTCTCTGTAGAGGATGTATAATTATTATTTACATTCAGAAAATCAACAAAAACATGGAATTTGACAAACTTCTGCACACGACTATCTGATTTAAATAAATTTTAGGCAGTTGTAAGAACATGAACACAGGAGAATACCTAACCTTTAGGGCACGGAAGACTGAATAATACATTTCTTTGGAATTTCAGTTGGGGTTTTTACTTATTACACATGCAGCATGTTAAGGTCATTTGTACACTGAAATGTTTATGATGAGGCTCAGGTTATTACTCTCTACAGCTGTACAACAGCTTCAGAGGAGAAAGACAATATACAGAGCACTATGTATGAGGAATTATACTAAAATATTACTAAACTTCTGGTTAATCAATATGACTGTGTGCACTTACAGTATGAATATTGTGTAATATAAATAAAATATGCATGTTTACAGAGACAGATGTGAAGGACTGGAGTTCACATTACCACTGTAGTGAGAGTGGAGGACTACAACCACATAATAAGTGTGCACTTGTGCAGTGACAGTGTGTCTATAACCATGACATCTTCAGGTTTTGTACTTAAACTGTTAGAAAATATTTAGTATATTTTTTTTTTCATTAGTATTTAATATGATGCACATATTTGTGGCCTTTTTTGTTGTCAGTAGCATCACCAGTAGTGATGTTTTGGAGTGAATTTGCCTCTTGCAGATGGGTGTCTACAGCAAGATAGTGACCAGGATTGGGAGGTGTTTGCTAAAAACTGAAAATAGAACACTTTTGAAATGCATAACAAATACAATGTAATCTCATCTTTTGCCTTGCATGAAAAAGCAAAAACATCTGGTATAAAATATGCATCAATTTACTCTGGATTATTCCTTGGATTTAATAAGCGTAACAGCTGAAGTCTGATAACTGTTTGTAGTGACTGTTTTTGTTACTAGTAATTGTGCATCGCTTTTCTTCTGCACTTCACTTACATTACAATAATACATGCATACTAGCAGCACCCTATTAACCACATGGCATACCATAGCAATACTCTAGCAACCACCTGGGATACCATAGCAACCACCTAGCAAGAGCCTAGCAACTATCACAAATACTTCGAATAAATGGAAAGCAAAATTAATAGATAACATAGCAACTACCTTGCAGCACCCTAGCAGCCATCTGGGATACCACAGCAACTGCCTAGCAATGCCCTAGGAACCACCTGGGAGACCACAGCAATGACCTAGCAACACCCTAGCAACCATCTGGGATACCACAGCAACCAGCTAGCAACACCCTAGCAACCATCTGGGATACCACAGCAACTGCCTAGCAACACCCTAGCAACCACCTGGGATACCACAGCAACTGCCTAGCAACGCCATACCAAAAATGGTGTTTGTTTTTGCTTTTTATTAATAAGATTTAATATTAAAAGCAAACTCAGTCACTATGAGTGGACCAGTGACAAAAGTGAGTGGGCCCTAAAAATATATACATACATCATACAGTAAAAATGGTTTCAGTTTAAAATGAATAATTAATTCACGTAGTAATAAGCAGTCTAACTACTTTTATTCAACTCAGATACTTTGAATAAAACAATACAAAGCAAAGCATGTAGCTCAGATAAACAAAGGCAAATATTTATATGAATTGAACACTTCTTGTGAGAGATTTCAGCGTTTATCTTTCTATTTTTTTATAAGCGTTTATAATCTCATAATTACAGGACTTACTCATACTCTCTAAAGAGGATCATGTTTTTGTTGTTTTTTTTTTTTCCTCTTTCGGTAGAATTCTGCTTTTTTCATGCAGGTCTGTAAATATTCCTGCTGTGTCTGGAGTTTTTCTGACTGCGGCGCTGCAAGCCACCACATCCGCACTGTTCCAAACATCTGAATGAGGATGAAGAGGTTAGAAAAACCTCCAGAGGAACTGCAGCTCCAGCCTGGAGCTCGGCCTGCAGGACGCTGCGCCGGTTCTGACCCGCTGTAATTGTAGACCAGCAGTGCTCAGGACTTTAATCTGGATGAAACCAGACCCTCCTGCTCTGTTCCTCGAGCTCAGACCGTTCCACTTGTATGTTTAGAACCTGGATTGTTGTGATTTGTTAGAAAGTCCGTGGCTCAGTGACTCTTCTGTTTTTCAGTTTTTAAGTCTCCACTTTGATGCTGGTGTCTTGCGTTTTACACGGAGCGTCAACTCTGCTCATTAGTGCTGTATAACTTTATACACTTGAAGACGGCTGTTCAAGGGTTCTATTGTAAAGGGAATGGATCTATTTGGAACCATCTGCATGCTTAAATGGTTCTATATAGCGCCAAAAAGCGTTCTGCTGCTGTTTGGTGCTACATGAAACCTTTTTCAAAAGGGTTCTATATAGAACCATCTACAACACGTTCTCCATCAGTCTAAAGAAGCATTTCACCATGCAGTGAACGCTTTAATCATGCAAAGTGTTCATGGCTTTATCTAGAACCATTTTCTTTATGAAACAACCTTCTCTTTTCAAGTGTGTAGAAACTGTAACTCTGCCCGGATTCCTCTGAAACACTTTACAATGTGCTGCAGCAGATCTGTAAATCTGAAAACTCGCCAAGTTTCCCAAGAGTTTGGTGTAAAGAGTGACTGTTCCTCATTTCTCACACTGAAGACAGAAGAGGAGATGAGTAAGATCTCAGTTAATGAGAGGAAGAACGCAGAACAACACTAGAACAGAGACTTTACAGAAGAGGAACTGATAAAACAAACATTTACTGACATTGAATCATCAGCGCCGCTGTGGTGAGTGAGTTAGCAGCCAGATAACATGGGACCCCCGAATACTAGGCGGGGGTTCACACTGAGTATTAGCATGTGACGTCACTCATGAATGATCCAATAAAAGTAGACATTTGAGAGAAGCTGTTAGCTGAACAAATGAGGTAAACAAGCCAACTCGCCTTGTCTGCCAGTAAAGCCCAGTAACGGCTGCAGCGTCAGTCTGTAACATACGATGGAGGGTTAAGGAGGGTTAATGACTTCTATCTCATGGGTCAAAAGTCACGGCCTGCTTTTCAGAGGAACTGTCGATCGGGTCAGCAGTCAGTTTTCGTAACAG